TTTTTCCCTTCTAAACCTTAGATTATTTTAAGAATTCAAATAAAAAATGATGGACGGATTGTGGTTCAAGAACAAATGTCGGACAATGTATTATGGGTTGATTTTATTGTAAATTACATTTAAAAGAGAGAACTGCGTAACAAAGGGACAATAACAACAATGTTTTTCTCTTTAAACGCTATTGTCATAAATTATGTTATGTATTTTTTAACTTACAGACGGGCACTTGATTAATAAACTTTCATCGGGAATCGCAGACGAACGGATTGGGCATTTAGCTGTCTTATCACCAAGTGCAGAATATAACTGGATTTGGTTTGGTTTGGTTTACTTGATTACGGCAAAGCACTCAAGGGCTATCTTTCTGAGGAGAAGAATGCCTTCGTGAAGTTTTTTCTAAGGGAAACTAGCTCGGATACACGTTACACTTGGGGAAAACCACGAAAACGCCAATGCAACCATCCCGTTCGCCGGAGTCTGAACCCCGGATCGAGCTACCAGTATTTTGCGACTTAAACGCTCGCCCGTCAAGGGGGGTACAATAGAAACTGCATTGGAAAAGGTGGATAAAGGCAACTCGTGTCCCTGGGAGCCGTTGCTCTGGATTGGAGAGGGCGAGGGACATACACCTTTTTAACTATGTTAGACATCAAGTGTCCCCGCCCTCCGTCACCAGTCACCACCAGTCCAGAATATGAGTGTTTGCGAGGTAGAGGAGGAGGGACACATGAGGTCGTTGGAAAATGTTAATTTAAATTGATTGATGCATTGAAAATATGCGTTTATGTATTAATATAATACTGTGCTGTATGATCTTCTTGCGAACCCCTCCCCCAAATTTATTGCTATAATAACTTGTCTCCAATCTCCTTCTTCCTTGAAAATTTTCTGTAAGTGCTCATGGACACGTTAAAAAGTTTATTTCACTGATTGGAATGCCTATCTTTTGACATCATACAAGCCTAAATGGCAGGTGAAAGTTTATATTAAAGTATTACTATTAATACTTTTAATTCATCTGCTTCTGGAGACTAAATATGGCTTATGGTTGAAAATATGCTTTCTATCAGAGCTGATGCATTTAGCAGAAAAACTGTTTATTAGAAGTACAATCACCTTTATTTAAATGACGGGATATTTTTTCGAATTCTGACACAGCGCCGGTCGCAATTGCAAATCCCAAACTATCCGGACTAATCTCAGACATCTGGCAAATCTTGCAAGGCCATCGAATACTTACTGTTAGTTTCGATCTAAGTATCAGCATTTGCTAACCCGATTGCAATCAAGGGCCATATGAATATTATTTATAGGTTACGTTAGGTTCTTTTAATAAGTACACGACGTCTATCTGCCTAGGGCAACAGATGTTGTCGTGGAGAGCTGGCCTTTTCAGGTAAATTCGCTCATATTCTTGTTACTCATGAGAAAATCTGAAAACCAATTATCCGTTTCCCTGGAGTCAATCCGTTTCCCTGGAGTCGAACCCATGTAAAAATCTGGCACTCAGCATACTTAAACACTCGACTACTAGTGAGGCAGAATATTAAGAGGAAAATCCTTCCTCTTTCAACAAATGAAGCTCTTTTACTTCTAATAAAGACAAATATATATACATTGCCGTAACTACCATTTGTTTACTATATAATTGTACATTCAGTTCGATTATCTAAATTCATATAATCATCCTTGTAAAACTAAAACCGCACAATTAAGAACAATTATGCCGTTATTATACTTTTAAATATAATTGATCATAATTCTATGCATAGAAGAATTTACGCACGTAGAAATAAATGAAAAATTATTCATCACCTTGGTAACAGCAGCCAAGTTTCCAGTTTTACCATTAAAGGAAATTTATTGAGGATTCTCTTTTTTATAACTTGACGGTGCCTGTGATTTTATTGCTAATGAAGATGTACGTATCGCTGTAAAATTTTTCATCCTCCTATTTAATTTGACATCTTGACTTCGAAAGTAATGTATTAAATAAACGAACGGTAAACAAGTTGAGCAATTCGCGACACATACACTTTTTAAAAAAAATTCAAAGTGTTTTCTATTCGAGAAATGTTTTATGGTGTTAAAATATTCTATTCTGTTTCTTTGCATAGCATTATAACCTTGTTCCTGACATAAATAATATATTCAACATTATTTTTACAGTCAACTTGAAAGATGTCTGCTTTTGAAAAAATTTTGTTAAGAATATTCGTGGAAATCTTTTTTTAACAACTGAAAGAATAAACGTGTTTAGAAAAATTAAATTTGGACAAAATATACACTTGCATAAATTGTGTCAAGAATGTGAGAATTTGTGAAACCAGTTATGTTACATATTTAAATTATTTTGTTCTTATAGAGTATTACATACTATATTCAATTATTAATGAGTTTAACATGATAATACTTCAAAGTTCTAAATAGTCTTCCTTCCGAGCGTTTCGAAACATTATAGGCTTCATTTCCATTTTTTTATCTCATTTGTCTTTTACATGAAACAAAAAGTGTAGATTATTTTTATTCGATAAAACCTCCAAGCACCTTTTTTATTGGTAATACATTAAACGAGATAGTGTGCTATGGCTATGAAAGAGTCATTATACTAGGTTCCTAAGTCTTTGTATACCTGGTTTGAATATCACAGAGAGTAATTCGGTGTAATATTAGCTTATTTATTTAACACATACTATAGTTGAATACTTGCTATACTGTACGTATATTGGAAACATATATTGGATACATATTTGCATACACGAACTATGTATTCACCATATGTGTATATGCTCAATCATGCTGCGAACATCACAGCCACATGTTCATCATGTTGTGTACCTGCATGAACAGCATGCAATGCATTCCTCTTTGATATCTTGTGGAGCATCTGAGGGGTTATCTTCCGAGATTTTTTTCACTTTTACTCAATTCTTATTCTGTCCTTTAACGGCAATAAGAAATGACCTGATTATTGCTTTCCATGAGCTACCTGGTCCGAGCTTCATGGAGCCCATTTCAATGCAGAGTGGAGATGTTTCAAAATCATGCCCATTCCAGCTGCCTAGGAAGTGCTCATTAAGGAAATCCAGCACCTGAAAAGCACAGCGGCCTGGATTCTGTCCTGTTATACTGGAGCATAATCTACGTTTTCCTTTCCTTTCAAGTGCGCAGCATGTTTAATACATATTTTCAACACGTATAAATAAGAATGCGCATGGGTAAATAAGAATATGCATTTATATACGTAAATTTATTTTGCAAAATGTGTAAATGAGAATGTGCATTCAAATATTCGTCAAAAATATGATGTGAACATGAAAGCAGTGTTGATATTACTATAACTCAAATTCACTGAAAAATTCCATGTGTAACGTGTATACGAGCCAGTTTCCCTTAGAAAGTCCTCCACGAAGGCATCCCTTCCCTTAGGCAGATAGCCCTCGAGGCTTTGCTATAATCACACGCACGCACACACACTGAAAAGTTTCTCTGTGGTACGCAAAGCAAGATACACGCGGAGTTCTCGAACGCTCTGTAGTATAGTTTCGATATTCATTCACATTGGATTCAAATCACTTGAATTCCACTTTAAACAACAGATGCAGATTTAATTTTAAATTATGAATCGAGGCGCTTGTAATAAAAAAAGTTTTATCTGACTGTTAAATTTTAACTCGCTGTTACTTTCATTAAAAAGCGGGTTTCTATGGCTAAAAAATGTACCGTTATTTCTACTTGAAACAATAATTCAGTTTTTCAAATTCGGAAATTTCAAGCTGACATCTGCCAGCATTATTGCTAGCGATTTGTAACTTTCGTATTTACGAAGCAGATGCAAATATACGAGAAATTTACCAGTATTAGTAGTTAAATGCGAAATAATGTTTGTGAACCGTTTTGAACGAAACCTGTTGACGAAATCGAAATCGAGTGAATGGTTAGGCGGCATTTAGTAGCCTTTGCTACTTTAACCGTCTCTGTTGGGATATGCCCTAAGGCGTTGGGAAGAATTAAAAATTAAGGTGATTTACACCGCACCGACAAAGGTGAAGCAAGGACATGTGCTAATGCCCGTGAGTTGGTCAAGTAGACTTTGGAGAAGGAGCATCTGGCCGCCGTACAAGCTGTGATGTATCTTTACTAGTTGAAGAAAAGATGATACGTCAAGGCCAGTCACGTGGGTGGTCACCCACCCAAGTACTGACCCCGAGCTCTGCTGCTGTAAACAGGGGAGCCTGTGTGTTGAAAAAGTGAAAGAAATCGTAAACATAGTGAAATTCCCTCAAATGCTTCTAAGCTGGTGATTACTCTTCACTTTCAGAAAATCTCATCAGTGTCATGGCTGCTTTGAACCCGGCAGTAAACTTCTCAGCCGTGGTTTTTGCAGCGCGGATCTTCTCAACGTGCTCAACCATACTGTTCAGAAATTTTTTGATTTTAGGATCTTGGATCCAGTTTATGATATCCTTGTACTCTGTGGGTGGGTTTTCCAATTTTTTCTTTACTCTATCACTGTAGAGAGGTTTCATCTGGGTTTTACTGCTGTCTTCCTCTGTTTCGATGAATTTCGGAAAATCTGCCGGTGTAGGGATCTTAGCTGCTGGCTTTGCCTGCTGCTTCTTGCTTCATATCGCTTCTTGTACACGGGGCAACCCCTGTATGAACTTACATGCGGTAGTGAGCAGAAGATGCACTTAGGTTTTTTCTTCTGGCTTTAGAGGGCATTCTTTACTTCTATGGTGCTGTCCACTTGCAGCATCGCTCAGGATTTGAGCAAAGATGTTGCGAATGTCCATATTCTTGACATCTTTAGCATTGAATTACGCGTTTTTTCCGGGCAAACTTCTCGATCTTGACATTAACACTTAACATATTGTTGAGTAAAAGAATTGCACGTCCTTCCTTCGTTTTCTTCAGTTCCAACAGGAAAATCGGAAGTTTCTCGATAGCGTCTCCTCTTCGTCTGGAAAATTGCTTGACTTTATTTATCGGGAATTTCCTTCTCTCCAGATCTGCCTGGATTATTTCTTCCTTCATCGTCGATGGGAGGCCCTTAAGAATAACCTTAATAGGTGAACAACTTAATAGAACAACCTTAATAGGTTTTTCGCTGAGTAACTGGAAAGTATGAAATGGTATATTTCTTTTCTGCAAAACCAGAGTTGCTTTTCTGTAATCGTCTACTGACTTTAAATTAACATATAGTAGTTTCATTTTCATATCGTCTTCGAATTGTTCACTGCAGGTATTGATAAGGATTTCATGAATTTTAGGGCCAATCCACTTCGCTTTGCTGGGAAAACTATTGGGGGTGGAGGTTTCCTCTTTTTCGGCTCGTCCTTCTTCTTCCATATCTTCTACTTCACTTAGATGCTCAAATCGATTTTCCGTCGTAACTTCCATTGGAGCTTCGTTTTCCTGATACTTTCGCGGTTTTCTTAGGAGAAATCCGTTCTTGTTCCCTGCTGTCTGTTCCTCTTTCAGTTATCTGCCCTGGATAAAATTTTTTCGTGAATGTCTCTACATCCATCTCACCCTTAGTTCTTTTATGAAAGTAATTGTAAATTACGTCAAATCAAAATTTCGCAATTTGGTCCCGGATTTCTTCTTCAGAACACAACTTAAATTTTTGGATGTCCTCATCATTTCCCATTGATAAATCTTCTGGTGTCTGTTCATCAGTAGCTTCTCCATTCGATGTTTGAATGTCTCTTTTTCCCTTACCAGGTTTAACATCTTTCTTCTTACTTGGTTGTTCGCTTTCCGTATCTGACATAGTTTTCGCCTTTTTTGCTTTACTTTTCTTTTCTTTGGCCATAAGTATGAAATCTTCTTTCTTCAATGGATAGGTTTTGTTGGATTTGGACAAACGATCGCTTCGGTAGTCCTCTTTATCAGAACTATCGAATGGTGTCCTATAAAAGGACATTTTCTACCCGAAGGTAATTAATCAGTCAAATAAACTTTTTCAAAAATCAAATTCTGATTATTCTTGATCAAATTCTTCAGAAAAAATCGTAACAACGAACTGAAAAGAACAAGCTCAAAACGTAAATATCTCATCGAATTCTGACTACGATATTATGTTAGTTCAATTATGTAACTGCAACCTGTTGACGAAAGTGCGTATTTAAATATTCTCATCTCTTGAGCGCTTAAAGTGGTGGTTATTTTGGGGAAAAGACAGAATGTATTTTGGTAAACGAGAAAGTAGAAGCTGATAAGCACGAAATGATATCGGATGACAATAGCTTTATTTATATTTAACTCTACATGTGGTATCTCATGCAAATAGATTAAGCATATTTTCAAATTATTTTGACAATCTGTAGCCATGAGAGCTGTGTAGCCAAACATATTATTAATTCTTTTTAGATACAATTTAAATAAAAATATTCTAAAGAACGAGTTTATTAATGATCAATGATGAGACTGCTGCTTTCAATTATATTTTTATCATAATAATAATTGTATTTTTATCATAATAATAATCCTATTTGCTTACCCTATAGAGACATTAGGTTATTTAGAAGCAAGAAGGATGAAAAATGAGCAACGCCTTCGCCGGGATTCGAACCACAGGCCTCTAAAATACGCGCCGATCGTGCTGACCACTACTCTACGAAGCATGCTAAGAAGGCGGGAGAAATACCTTAGAACCCTAGATTCGAAAATAATTTATTTGTATTAGTTTACTTATTTATTTTTCCTAATTTTATTTATTTATTTAATTAGTTTGCGAATTTCCTTGTTTGACTTAGTTTTGAGAAATCCCCCCTTTATTTTAAATTTGAAAGCTATGTATTTTTTATCATAACCCAATAAATCGAGGTAATTTATGTGGCATTCCAACAACTCTTATTTAATGATTTTTCTTTCAGCAAGAGTATAATTAAATCTGGCGCTAGAGATTGTACAAGGGTGCGCATAACCTGAAATTTAGCGGCCCACCAGCGGCCGAGCGGTAAAGTCGCTGAACACTGGTAGTTCGGTCCGAGGTTCGAATCCCGCGAACGGCTGGCTGCATGGGTGTTTTCGTGGTTTTTCCCCATGTGTAACGTGTATACGAGCCAGTTTCCCTTAGAAAGTCCTCCACGAAAGGCATCCCTCCTCTTAGGCAGATAGCCCTTGTGTGCTTTGCCATAATTAAATACACACCACACCTGAAATTTAGCGCAGTTTTGAGAAATATCCAGCTTAGAAGATTTCTATCCAATGGTATATGGAAACTAGAAGGTCGAACGTTTTAGCAATGAAAATATTATTATCTTCCCGAAAACTTGTAGGTCAATGACACTTCACTGGCCAAAGCATATAGCAAAAATTATGGAAAATAAGCCTTTCATATTAATGTCCTTTAATTCTTCTGAGAGGAGGAGCTTTGAGTATGATACCCGGTTATCTATTAATCGTTGCAGGTGCAGTTATCTATGAAGGCTTCTGACTATTCAAAACTATCTCGGACCATCTCATTTCCGCCACCTGCATTTTATGTGATTCTGGGCAATCAATAATGGCATATGTGCACTTCGCTGAAGAATTTCAAATGTATCCTTTAGAAATTCTGCAGAATACGTAGGCTAGGGGTATAAATGTAAAAATATAAACTGTAACAGCAGACAAAGTTGATTATTAATTGGATCTAGTTTTTACGAAACTATTTTAATTAAATTCCAAGCTACCAATTTTGCATGGAGTTTTACGTTAACTTCAATTTTACATGGAGATATTAAAAACGTTTAGAATGCTTGCATCAAAAATATCTTTTGAAAAGTATTCTCTCATAGACAAATGCTGATGAATTTTTTTCCTTTTCGGTTAATCAACGATCTTTGTGAACTCCTGAGCGCTTAAAATTAAAGACATCAGTCAGCTCAAAATTTTACAGCACTTTGGCAGTTTCATGGGGGAAATGTTTAGAGCAGATTGATCTGATTTTTATGTGTTGAGAAAATTAAATGCAGCCAATCTTAAAGCTATGAGAATGCTATGTAAAAAAATCAAAGAGCACTTTATTAAAAATGCTGTTAAGCAACTGATTAAAGAGAAGGAATTAATATATTTATTTTGAATAACCAAGTAAGTTCAATTTTACACTTTCCTATAAGCCTTTACTCCCCTAGTTGTGAATGCCAGAATATTTAAATTTAGTAGCGCGTGAAGTAATGCAAATTCTACCTTGAGGAGAAAAGGTTTGAATACCGAGTTCTAGAAGGAAAGGTTAGAGAGTGTGGGCGACCGCGGTACCTTTGTACCTTGAGTTTCTGTTTGAGTTTGATATGCTTGAGCTTGAGTTTCTGGTTCTGCATCTATTACCGGTTAATGTGGCGTAATAGCTATTACTTTGCTGCTACTAGATTTCGAAGCGGTTTTAAGTAACAGAATTATCTGAGTCATGTAAATAAACTCTACTATTTGTTAATATCTTTGAATTTTTACTTTAGCTCTTCTGAGTTGAGTTATCGCCCGAGTAAGGCGTAGTTTGTTAGCGTTAAGTCGACGCATTGCGAATTTTAAAAGCGTTCTAAATAAATTGCTCTTTTTACCCTTCTTCTATGTGGTACCTTCACGTACTTTAGTTGTCACATAGTAAATATTACAAGTTTTTACATATTTTTTCCTGAATTCTAAAATATTTTACATTTGAATTATAATGAACTGCGATAATTATGTAACGGAGAAAGAAGCTGTCTATACTCTAATTAAAAATATTTAGATAAGTAAGTGATGACTGATTCATCCGCAATTGATTTTCTCTTTTTTCTTAAACTCTTTCTTCTTTCGATATTATGCATTTATAAATAATTGCCATAACATTTTCTTCTTCCTTCTCACGAGCGCATGATAAATTATTGTTTAGGTACTTCATGGTTTTATTTCGCAATTTATAAATTGTTTACTTACAGCAGATTTTCTTAAACTGTGGATCGCGAAGGGGTCGCGGTACTTGCAGCAGAGCGTCGCCAAAAATTTTAGCAGTTTGATATTTCTTATTATAATAATTTTACAATTACCAAATATTTTTACACAATGTATCTGAAAATAGATAAAAATAAGACAACACAGATGAAGAAAGAACGAGAGCATTTCGAAGCATTCTTTTTATAATATAAATGTTCCTTTTACTTGCTTTGCACGTGACGCTGTCATTTCGTCTGTTACTTATTTAATTTTCACATTTTTCTATGTTTTAAAATTAGAAATTAAAGTTAATGACCTAAAACTCCAATAGTATATCACAGTACTAGTGAAAAACCTGACAGTTTCACTCACGCGTGTGTCGGATTTGCGCAATGCTTATGGGGTCCCACAAAATTTTCGTAAATATTATGGGGTCCTTGGGTCGAGAAAAAATCTCAGTGGTCAAAAGGGGTCGCGACTGTTTAGTTTAAGAAGTTAGCTACAGTTAAAAAGTTTAAGAAGCCATAACTTAGAGTATTCTTTTGGTATGAACAAGGCCCACAAGCGGCCGTGCGGTAAAGACGCTGAACACTGGTAGTTCGGTCCGAGGCTCAAATCCCGCGAATGGGCTGGATACATGGGCGTTTTCGTGGTTTTCCCCATGTGTAACGTTTATACGAGCCAGTTTCCCTTAGAAAGTCCTTCCACGAAGGCATCCCCCCTTTAGACAGATAGCCCTCGTGTGCTTTGCCATAATTGAATAATCCCTAATCCCCTTTGGTATGAACAAAGTCCCTTATACAAAACATTTAAGAATTCGAATTAATATATATAAAAGAGAAATTCTAATTACGTCTAAAAATAGTACTATGTAATTATTGACTATGTAATTATTGTCAATATGTAATTATTGACTGAACCTAGCATTCCGATGTATTCAAGAAATATTTCTCCTTATATTACCAGATTTGCAGCCTATTAGAGTTTTACTAATATACTACAAGAAAAGTCTTTATAGCTCATTACGTGATAAGTTAGACTGTGCCTATTATTAATTAAACAACTGGGGTACAAAGTTGCGTCACAAAAGTAAGCTAATTACGAACTTGTAAAATGCTCCTTAACCGGCCCCCAGTTAACCGGCAATATCAGAATAACGCTACTTTCCAAAAACTTCGAAATTTCGGATTATGAGAGTTAAAAAGATATCACATGACTAAACTAGCATTCTAGCATGAAACTCTATGCATATGTGTCTCGCATAAGAATCCATGTCGCATACGTAGTCAACTTCACCATATGACTTCCTTTCCCACAGTCTTCTTAATGTGTGAACTTTGAAGATTGTATTCTTCATTTTTAGAAATAATTCA